TCATCTTGGCTACTCAGGCTTAAGGACACTAAAGAACAAAGAGATGGTGAATGGTTTGCCAGACTTTGCTGAGACAGAGGTGGTATGCACTGATTGCTTAAAGGGGAAGCAACACCGAGAGATCATGCCAAAGAAAGCCACTTGGAGAGCATCAGAGAAACTTGAGCTTATTTACTCTGACATTTGCGGTCTCATCTCTCCAACGTCTAATGGTGGAAAGAGGTACCTGATCTGCTTCATCGATGATTTTAGTAGAAAGGCGTGGATATACTTCTTGGTCTACAAAGCAGATGCGTTTGCCACTTTCAAGCAGTTTAAGAATGGCATAGAGAAACAGTATGGTTTGCGCATCAAGTGCTTAAGGACAGATCGTGGTGGGGAATTTACTTCAAGTGAATTCAATGAGTTCTGCAAAGACAGTGGGATCAAGAGGAAGTTGACGACGCCTTACACACCACAACACAACAGGGTCGCAGAGAGGAAGAACAGAACAGTGATGAACATGGTGAGGAGCATGTTGGTGGAGAAGAATGTTCCAAAGGTGTTCTGGCCAAAAGCTGTCAACTGGGCATTTTACCTTTTGAATCGATGTCCAACGAGCTCTGTAAAGGATGTTACACCAGAGGAAGCATGGAGTGGAATCAAACCATCGGTGGCACACTTGAGAGTTTTTGGCTGCATCGCTCATACCCACATTCCTGATGTACACAGAACAAAGCTTGAAGACAAGAGTCGCAGAGGTGTTTTGTTTGGTTTAAGCGCAGAATCAAAGGGATACAAGCTCTTCGATCCCACAAGCAAAAGGATGACTGTGAGTAGAGATGTGATCTTTGAAGAGGATAAGAAGTGGGATTGGGATGCTACTTATGAGGAATCAATTCAAGTTGACTTGGAGTGGGAAAATGAAGAATCATAAGACAATGCCGATCGAGAGAACGTAGAAGAAGTAGCTGGTCAGGAACCACAACCAGAAGATGGAGACAATGAGATCGTGGAGAATCCCAACACTGGTCCACCTCCAATGGCTATTGCTACTACACGAACTGATGTTGCAGAGAGTTCAAGAGGGCCGGGGAGGCGACAAACAAGACCACCAGTAAGACTAAGTGATTATATCACTGGAGATCAATATGAAGAAGACGAGTTGGCCCAGTTTGCTTTGTTTGTAAAAGGGATGGTTCAGTTTGCATTCTTTGCTGGAACAGATCCAGTTAACTTCGAGGAGGCCATCCAAAGTGAGAACTGGAAACGAGCCATGGATTCCGAGATAAACTCAATAGAGAAGAATGACCCCTGGACTCTAACCGATCTGCCACAAGGAGCCAAGAGCATAGGAGTCAAATGGGTGTTCAAAACCAAGTTGAATCAACATGGAGAGGTTGAGAAGTACAAAGCCAGGCTCGTAGCAAAAGGTTATGCTCAAGAACATGGAATCGATTATGAAGAGGTTTATGCTCCTATTTCACGTATGGATATAGTCAGAATGATCTTAGCTCTATCAGCTCAGAGGGGTTGGCAGTCTATCAGCTGGACGTGAAGTCAGCGTTTCTGCAAGGAGAACTAACAGAAGAGGTCTTTGTTGAGCAACCAAAGGGGTATGAACGGAGGGACGCAGAGAATAAAGTCCTCAAGCTTCGTAAAGCTCTTTACGGTCTCAAGCAGGCACCAAGAGCCTGGTTCAGCAGGATAGACTCTTACTTTCGAGAGATGGGGTTTGAGAAGGACGCAAGTGAGCAAACGCTGTTTACTAAATCTAATGAACAAGGTAACACTCTCATCATTAGCTTGTATGTTGATGACTTGATATACACTGGAAGTGATGAAACGATGATGAGAGAGTTCAAGGAATCGATGATGAGAGAGTTTGATATGTCAGACATGGGGGAGATGAGGTATTTTCTTGGCCTCGAAGTGATGCAGGTTGATGGAAGAATATTTGTAAGCCATAAGAAGTATGTGAATGAAGTGCTGAAGAGATTTGGAATGGAAGAGAGTAACTCAGTTTTGAATCCAATCATTCCTGGATTCAAAATTCATAAAGACGACGATGGCGTGAGAGTTGACGAATCACTCTACAAGCAGCTGGTTGGAAGTCTAATGTATTTGACTGCAACAAGGCCGGATGTGATGTATGCTGTGAGTCTCATCAGTAGGTACATGTCGAAACCCACTGAACTTCATCTTGCTGCAGCCAAGAGAATTCTCAGATACCTTCAAGGAACGACTGCACATGGAATCTTCTATCAAAAGACAGGGAACTCAAAGCTTATTGGATTCACAGACAGCGATTATGCAGGGTGTGTAGAGGATAGAAAGAACACATCAGGATAGGCTTTCATCTTGAGCGACGCTGCAGTAGCTTGGTCATCAAGGAAGCAAGCCATCGTCACCTTGAGCACAACAGAAGCAGAGTTTGTCACAGCTGCTGCAAGTACATGCCAACTGATATGGATGAAGAGGATATTGAAGAGGATTGGTTATGAAGGAAGTTCAAGCCCAGTGATTTTCTGCGACAACAGCTCGGCCATAAAGCTATCAAAGAATCCGGTGATGCATGGTAAGAGTAAGCATATTGATGTGCGTTTTCACTTCTTAAGGGACTTGGTCAATGAAGGAGTAGTTCAGCTGAAGTTCTGTGGCACACGCGATCAAGTGGCTGACATATTTACCAAACCACTCAAGCTGGAGGCATTGGAAGATTTCAGAAGGAAGCTAGGAGTGTGTGATGTCTCGACCATAAACTAGTAGACTGTCTAGTTTAGGGGAGGGAATGTTGGGGTTTTAAGTTGTTGTCTTTATCCTATTCTTTAGGACGCTTGTTGTTTCTGTTTTTCAGTCAAACGCGGTCATCGTGTTTAGATCACGCTTGCTATTTCTTAGGAGTAGTTGGTCCATTCTGTTTCACGCTCTGTTTTCATGTAAGGCTATATAGCCATTGTCTTTCTCCTTAATGAACAAGTTAGTTTTCCAGAAGTAACATCTTGAGATTTACAAAACAAGCTCAGGGAACCGCCATCCCTAGAAGCTAGATCCGCCGCACCGCCTTCAATCTTTTCCATTAGAACCCTAGCCCCAGCCCCGGTGACTGTCTAGCACTTTCTGGTTTCATCGCCGTCGTCCTCTAACACGAGGAGGTCGTACTAACGGCGAGCCACCAGAGCCTTAGAGCTTATCCTAGGGGTCAAACCAAACAGAGACCCACTCGATTAGCTCGTAGGAAAGAGGAGCACCTCCAAATCTACCAGATCTAGACTATTCGGACTCGTAGCTCACTTTTCTGAGAGAGGGAGACCACTTTGAGCTCAACAAAAGCCGTCGTACGGCTAAAAACCTCCACCTTAGGGCAAACGAAAAGTTGAAGGTTGGGAGAAAAAGTCTTGCCTTGTGTAATACAGATGCCACTCAAAGGCCTTGTTAGATTATTAATCATTATTAATTTTCTCTATTATCTTTTCGAAACCCTTTTAATTTTCCAACCTACGTATACCTACTCTAAAATGTTTTCTAAGAGCTAGAATGACTGTTTTGTCATTTCCACTCTCCTTGTCAATTATTAATCCCCACACAATTTATGTCTTAGTAGTTATTTAATTAGTAACTTCTTTATAGATTTCTGCCCAATTCACTCAAAATAAATATCAGTTTATAAAAATATAAAATTTAATATCCGCATGGGCGAAGGTACAATGTACTTTAATGTGTTGAATTCGTAGTAGTACCCATGAAAACTTGGAGCCTAGAATACCAAATGAAACACAAATTTTGTTATATGCAAAGTGAAAACGGTCGTTTTGACAAGGTATGTTTTCATGCCGAAAGTTTGATCACAACAACATCTAACTAGGACTCACAGTTTAACATTTGTTATTCTTTCTTTTGTTTTGGCATGAGTAGGGGTGGGCGTTCGGGTACCCATTCGGGTTCGGTTCGGATCTATTCGGGTTTCGGGTTTTCGGGTTCACAAATTTTAGCCCCATTCGGATATTTCTAAATTTCGGTTCGGGTTCGGTTCGGATCTTTGCGGGTTCGGTTCGGGTTCGGATAACCCATTTAAATTATTTTTAAAATTTTAAAACTGATGATATACTTTACATTTCTAAAAATCTATAAAGAAAATAAAATATTACAGATAATTGAATAACATAAGTCAAAATGCCTAAAATTAACATATAAATTAGTTTGATTTGAATATTTGGATTGGGAAACAATAATTTTTTTAAAGTATTTTTGATGTTTTAAGTGTACTTTAGTAATTTTAGACATGTATGTTTGACTATTTACATATATTTACAAGTATTTTGAATAACTTCAAAGTATTTTATATATATTGAATGTTTTTTATATATACATTAAATCTAAAAATAACTAATATATAGGTATATAAATCTCTTTCGGATATATTCGGGTACCCGAAATACTTCGGTTCGGGTCGGGTTCGGTTTCGGTTCTTTAAATACCAAAATTTTGAACCCATTCGGATATTGAATCAATTTCGGTTCGGATTCGATACTACTTTTTCGGATCGGGTTCGGTTCGGTTCTTCGGATCCGGGTTTTTTGCCCAGCCCTAGGCATGAGCAATTGATCCATAACACCTCGATTCGTCATTCAAGTTTAGGTCAGATAGTAGATTAAGTCTATGTTGCTGTAAAGACTTTATGTAGGTGACCCCATGACGACAATATCCATAGCAAATAGTGACTTTGAAAAATCTCGAGCTTTTTCTTTCAGATATCTATTCGTCTAAATTAACATATAGTTGACACATACAACTATTACATATTTTGACCGCTATCATAATTGAATGAGCATAACTCAAATTCCATAATGCTGTGAATAATCTATAATTCATAATAATGTATAATTTTGTAGGACAAAATAGAAGTTGGATTAAACAGAACCATGAAAATATGATTGAATAGAAGGTTCAGATGAACACCTACGGTACCTTTTTTCAAAACTTTAAACTTGTGATGTAATTTTAAAATTTTGGGATAGATTGGAATCCAAAAATGAAAACAACTACTAAACAGTACCATAATCAGTGAATAACATTAAATTAGTGAATAATAAAAGATAAAACCATTGTATTAAACAAGCAGCAGCAACATAGATACTAGAAAGGAAAAGCAATGAGTTGTTTGTGATAACTTGAGTAACAAGCCTTAGACCACCAGATCTAGGTTTGAGATTAACGTCGACGTAACTGATTATGTAGAAGTCCAAAACCAGTCCGGATTGCTTTCTTCATACGTTTCCTCTCGCTCTTTCGATATTCTTTTACCTACAATAATATATGACACACATTTTTTTGAGTATACATGCGACTTATACGTACTTGTTCAATTATTGTTAAAGAAAAAAAAAACTAGCCTCTCGCAAATGATTTCGATTGTAATGAGCTACTCGGGATCGCCTGTTGTCCTTAATTTTAGAATTATAATACGCAGGAATTCTCTTCTCCTGCGAGTGCAAAAAATGTTAAGACGAAGTTATTTATAGAAAGAAGTGAAAGAGAGAGAGAAAGGTTTACTTCTTTTGCATGTTCTTCATCAGTTGAGAGATGTGTCCTGTAATTATCAATGCTTTTGGTATCAAAGCTGCATAATTTGCAATAAAACGTTGCGGTAGGTTCACCACCGCTTTCACTTTCACTGCTGCACTTCTGAAGAAGACTGCATTTCTGAAGAAATTGTGCTCTTTTCTCTGAAACTGTGCAAATGTAAATAAAAAGAAAAAAAAAAGCTTAGAGACAGAGAGCTAAGCATGGTTATTATAGTTAAAAAAACAGGAAGTGGATGTTAGAGAGGAAGACCTGCAAGTAGGTCTTCCCAGAGCCACTCTCCAGAAGTGAGCAGGAATGACTTTTTGGAAGGCCTAAATGAATAAGCCAGGAAAAGGATGTAATTATTCGCTTGTAGTAGACCGACAAGACAATGTTTAATCCAATCCACTTGATCCGATATGACCATCATTATAGCAGCAGCCTGAGGAGGGTTATTATGATGCCAATTGAACACATCTGTAGAAATGTATGTGAAACCTGTATCATCAATCAATCAATAAATGTTTTAGTTTAGCGTAGAAACTTTTAAACGCTAAAATAAAATAAAATAAAATAAAATAAAAAACTCCAAAGGGTACTAACGGGGAACGACATGTACAACATCGATGCCAGTGGAAGAGAGAGCTTGCAGGGGAGTATGATTATGGTCGGCAAAGGCAGTGATGGAGACAGGACCAGAGTAGCCTAGTTCCTTGAATGCTGCTTCTATACTTGGACGGACCCGACGAGGATCATAACCTTCGGGAATGGGACAAGTCGTCATGTCCCACCACACCTGTATTTTAGCTGTCGCGTATTCAGGCGTAGCCTTGTAGTTCCTTCCCCAGTCTTTCGTGACACATGCCACCTGTTCGTACGTAGGGTTTACATCCTCCTGCGAGTGGTAATAGTTAAACATTGGTTATGTCTTCATATAGACACACAAAAATCTCAATAGAAGCAAATAGAGAGAGGTGGATGCTTACTTGGCGTATATGTTTAAAACTCGAGAGATGCTTCTTGAATTTCGTAAGGGTTCGGCAATTGAAATTGCAATCGAAATTGCACGAGTAGCAATACAACTTGGGATAATGAAAACCAAATCGTCGGCTTTTACTACCATATAGTAATTCTCTCCAGGACCACTCTGCACTTGTGTGGAGGATAACACCTGCCTGACACCCTTCTGAATAAGCCAAAAAAAGGTTGTATAGCGTCCTTTGTTGTAGCCGGAGCAGGTCCCAATCGAAGACACCTTGCACCTCATCTGATATGATCATCATTGTAGCTGGAGGTGGATTCTGACCTCGCCATTCCACAATGTCACGATACATGTGGTAGTGTCTGCTTTCTATTTCAGTTTTTTTTGTTGTTGTTGTAATTAGAGTGATATCCAAGCTAATAAACATATTATTATATATATATAAAGTTACAGAGAGATGAATAACTAACCGGATCTGGTATGTACTACAGAGATTCCAGCGGTCCAGAGCCCTTGCAATTTGTAATCCGAGATTTGTGTTTGGTCGCCATAGGCAGTGATGGTGACTGGACCAAAGTAGCCTCGTTCCTCGAACTTCCCTTCTATACTCGATCGGATCAGACCACTAACATAATTCTCCGGAATCGGACAATCCTTCATGTCCCACCACACCGCTATTTTAGCTGTCGCGTGTTTAGCCGTCGCATCCATTCCTCCAAACCCTTTTTTAGCTGAACACAGCAGATACAAAGTCCTCCTTTCGTTTCTTTCTAGGGCTTCTCTATATATACGTCAAACTAATGGGCCAAATCCAGTAAAGCTTTGGGCTTTTTTAGCTGAACACGTTTGGTCGATAACCGAAAAAGAGTATTCATAAACAATAACAAACTTGGAGAATTTGATGGATCACAAGGCAAAGTAGGGCTGGCATAATATTTACTCTAACCGACCTGTATCCGATCCGGTCGGATCTTGTCTAAATTGTATCTGAATTGGACTATTTTTCAAAAGTCCAAAAAACTGAAACCAAATCCGATCCGCACCGAGAACCAAATGAGTATCTGAAGATATACAAATATATATATATATATATATATATATTCTTTAAATTATATTTATAATAGTATTTATACCTAAAATTAATATCATAAATCAAATATATTAATTATTTTAGACATTATAGATAAAAATAGATGTTTTGGATAAAAATACTAAAACAACATTATAAATATGGTTACTTTCGGACAAAAAATAATCAATTCGAACTAGATAAATTGAGTATTTTTGGAGTTTTAAGTTATTTTATATAAGTTTGAGTAGTTTGGATATAAAATATTCGAGTCCAATCGAGTAATTTGGTTACATCAGATAAAATCCGAACCCACCCAAATCTGGAAGATCTGACTCGACTTCACCCAGTTTTTTGTAATATCCGAATGGGGTCATTTTTCAAATTCTGAAAAATTCGATACCCGAATGGATAGTATAAAGGTATCTGAATGCCCATGCTTAAGGAAAAGGATCAGTCCAAAAGTACTATGCATCAAGAGCATCCTTTGCGCTTATTCTCTTGACCAATAAAAAGAACTTAAATGTCAAGAACCAATGCTATTAATTTCTGCAAATTTGCTAACATGTTGGATTGGTTTGGTAACCTCAGACAGGTCAAGGACCAACATTTCTCCAGTAGTTCAAGGGCATGTCGATCAAAACTATAGCATAAGAGAAAACACCAAAATGAGATCTCTTCTTGATCAAAGTAAAGGTTCACAGCTGCATAATGGTTATATACTTACTGTCGGTACATCTCTCTCACACGTCTCTTCAAGGGCCGAGATGATTTCATCTGGTTAAACCAAGGCATCTTCGAAACCCCAGGCCAATTGTTTTCACCAGGTGATCCACAAAGTTCATAAATCTTATCTAATTGTTCACCCTGGAGAAACACACATTTGAGTAAAACGCCATAAGTGGAAACTATGGCGGAAGTATGCTGAATTGATTCATTAGGTAAACATAATTACAACAATTATAGTGATTAGGATAGCTAAGCTAGGTATTACACATGTACTAATCTACCTTTCTATACATATCATCTACATACCCCCTCAAGATGGAGGAAGTTTTGTTACTCCAATCTTGTGCATCAGTTCGTTGAAGCGTGATCTCGATAGAGGTTTGGTGAGTGCATCAGCAAGCTGGTCCTTGGTAGAGACGTGTGATACACGGAGTGCTGCTGATTGAACATTATCTTGAACAAAATGAAATTCTGGGGCAAGATGTTTAATCTTAGAGTGGAATACCGGATTAGCACTGAAGTATGTGGCACCAACATTGTCGCAGAGATCGTGGGAGTTGTGGTGACAGCTATACCGAGTTCAGTAAGTAGTGAAAAAATCCAACGAAGCTCGGCTGCTGTGTTCGCCATTGAACGGTACTCCGCTTCGGTAGAATAGCGAGAGACACCTGTTTGCGAGAAGACCAAGCAATCGGCATCGATCCCATATAAACAACATAAGTCGTGGTGGATACAAAATCGTCGATATCACATGTCCAATCTGCATCTGAGAAAGCATGCAAAGTATGTAGAGAGTGCTTGTTGTAGATACCATGGGTGAGAGTACCCGAGAGATAGCGCAAAATGCGTTAGCAGCCTTCCAGTGTTTGTCAGTTGGTCGGTGCATGAACTAAGATAGGCGATTGACACTGTAAGCAACGTCAGGCCGAGTGAATGCTAAGTACTGGAGACTACCGATGACCATCCTAAACTTAGTAGGATTATCCAAAACATAGCCCAGAATGGAGTGTGAGTTTTGGACAAGTCGTCATTGGTGTTGATACCGTGTTCGCTTCAAGCCGGAATGAAGTTCTTCAATCAGCAAAGACTCACAGAATCTCAAGTTTCCATTTACTATTGGACTCTATTGTCCTCTTCTCTGCCAAGCATTCATGGTTGGACATGATTAAGATCACTGGTTTTCTTTTCAGAAACCTTGTCACTCTTTTCACTCCACTATCTTGTAATTTTTTAATCAATGCACAACCACTTGTTTAGCTGTTGCATTCACAATGAGTGTAATATCTAACCTATGTTCTTTAATTACTCTGTTTTAAATGTTATGAAATGAAATCCTTGACAAAAAAAAAAAATATCTACCCATGAGCATGGACGAGAATCTAAGTGGCCTAGAATGGGTGCAGCTGCCCCCCCCCCCACAAAAAAAATACAAGTAAATTGTTTTGCATTTAATTAGCAGAAATCTTGCAGCCAAGTTGGCTAAAACCTTCTCTTTGCCCCCACTAAACCCAGTTTTGAATTCCCATCTGCCCTTATAATTAAATGTTCTTATATTTTTTTCCTTTCTTTACTTTTATAATTTACCTTTTTTATATGCGTTTTATTTCCTTTTATAAGTTACATTATGTTCTTTCGAATCTTTTGTGGCCATTTATTATTTTCTTTCAATAAAATTTTGCTTTAATAGCTAATTCCATTTTTTTGTTAATGTGTTTATTTTTTTTTTCATTTATAAGACATCATTTTAGCTGTGATAAATAGTTACCTTTTCTTATATTAAACACATTCATGTAAGATATAACACACATTCATGTAAGATATCAAAAAAAAAAAAAAAAGATTTTGCCTCCACTCAAAAAAAAATCTAGATCCGCCACTGCCCATGAGAAAGAACTACTAATGAACACTGTGTCTTGTTCTTTTAAGGCCTTAATCTTAAAATCACACCTATACAAGTACTCATACGATTAGCAAAAACAAAGTTTGTAACAAGATAACCAGATTTCTCTTCCTAAAAAATGCATATCTTTTCCAGTTCAACATTTGAGTACTGCAACAATTAGAGTATCACTTATTTTAAATAATATGTCATAATGATAGCTCTCAGATTTACATTTGCATCTCTGTAAGAGATAATTCACAACCTTTCCCCACTAGCAAATAAAACCAAAACTTTAACATAATCAAAGCAAAGAGAATAGACAATGTTAATAATATCAATATCTTCTCATCTCAGCGCTTAAAAGAAGAACAATGAAAAATTAATAATTAAAATCATTAAAGTAATTTCTACGGTTTTAATAAGCGCTAAAGATTGATCTCCACATTGACTAACTTGGTCTCATTGGCATCTTATTTTAATGTTTTGCATTGTCTTATGATTCTTCTACCCTCCCGCTATGTACAACAAAACGATAAGGTTTATGTTCGTTGCCAGAATTGTTCAGTTCTCGTCAGAATTGTCCTCTTCTCACTGGAACTCATCTCTTCTCCACCAAAATCGTCTGAATAATCGAAGTGAAAGGTTTCTGAGTTTCAAAAAACAAATCAAATATCTTTTCTGTCATAAATAATGTGTCTCCATAAAAAAAACCTAAGAAATGACTTTTAAAAGTTCAATTTTACTCAGTCAACATTCACTTCTTTTTTTTGGAGCATAGTCAACATTCACTTGAGAATTAAAACTGCACAAGTAGAAGTTGTGTATTAAAAGTGATGATTACAAATATTTGGAGAATTAAAAGCCCATTTTCCCTACCTTTCCTAGCTAGTCTCCTTTCGTCACAGCCACGACATATGTAATTATGGTTCCGTTACTATGATCATCTTCTTCGGACACGATTAATTGCACAGTTATATTTAAGTATGACTCGATTTTGTAATTTATTTCTAGTTAATTTTGAAAATTTGTTTTTTGTTTTCTTAAATTTTCTGGGATGGATTTTCCATATTTTTTCATGATATATTTTAAATGCACACCTATAGGCGGAATACCAAGTGCTACTAAGTAAGTAAGTTACCTAAAAGAGAAAACATCCCTTGTAGATAAGAGAATTATACAAAAGAACACATTTTATTTTCTCTTTACATCTAAAGACACAAATGAATTTGGCACAACATATTATTTTCGATGTGGGACATTCTAATAGAGAGTATGGCACCTTAGCTTTTGAGAAAATATCTAATTATATAAAGATAAGTTTCCTCCCTACTGGTGAGGACACGTCACTAAATCACTTAATCTGACCGCAACACGTGGCATGGACTGCGTTTCCTTTAACGCAAAGAATAGTTTTGTGGGCCTTTGTTAAATCAAACAAATTAAAGCCCACTAATTCTCACACAGCTTCAATGGTGTATCAATAATTTGGATGGCGGAGATCTATATGGAGAAACTCTTTGTTTGTCTATACCCCGTCGTTTAGCCTTCTACCCAATTCAACCCAAACGGCCGAGTTACAGACTCCGTATACCATGATCTTGCAATTGATTGTGACTTATCACTCTCCAAAGCGGTCTATTCTTCACCTATAAAAAGGTTAGGTTTCTTCACTTGAACAATATCTTCACAATCTGTGAAAACACTAAATCTATATATAGATTCTCTGTAAAATGGATAACTCATCAATCTTCTTTCTGATCTGAAAGCTGGGTGCTGCTTCTCCACCGTCTCAGTCCGTTTGCTACTGATGTCGCTTGATATGCTCTTAGTGGATTCAAAGGTATATTTATTCTTAAACTCATGTTCAGGGTGCTTTATGTTCATATACTCATGTTCAAAGTTTTTTTTGAAGCAGCTTATATGTGTTCTTAAGCTTATGTTCATAGTCTTCTTATGCTATTAAACTCATCATGATCATTGGTTGCTTGAGCTAAAACTTAGGAAACTGTATATTAGGATTTTAAAGCTACTTCTGTGCGATTTATTTAAAATCCGTTTGTGA